TGTTCATAGATGTAGTATTGCCAAATCCGCAAAATATTATATATAATGGATTAAATAATTATGTTATTAAATATTACATATAATATTATAATATTATAATATTAAGGCTATTTTCAAATCCCAAAATATTGATGGCAAACAACACAAATATATTACAAATTTTGCGGTATTCCAAAATTCCCAAAATATTGATGAAACAAACCAACCAATATTAGCAAAATTTTGGTATTGTCAAATCGCAAATATTGCCCATGAAACAACAAAATTTTAGAGATCCCAACACATGTATACAAAAATTTAATGGATTTCAAATTCTATGGTGAAATCCATATCCATAAATTTTGGGATGCAAAACAAACACCCCCTTAATGTATATATATAGTCTCAGATTATATTATTAAATATTACTGATGATTTTATTATTGCACATACTATTTTGGTATTATATACATAATGCTTACGCTATCCTTAGGAATTGTTTTATTTAATCCTCCACAATTAATCCTTTACGCCTCGTTTGGAATGCGACAATTTAGTTAAGTGAGAATGAAATGAAATTAATAAATGGAATGAAATTAATGTTTGGATAAAATTAGAGAATAAAATGAGAATTATACTAATTTTATTTTTGGTATTGAATAATTAATAAGCAATCATGCATATTTAGAAATTATTTTAATTTTTGATTCCTTCTTAAGTAGGAATGCCCATACTCTATCATGTCATCGTAAATCCCCATTCATTACGTCTTATTAGACTCATTCGAATTCGAATAAATAAAAAGTAAGAATGAATAATCTACCTTTAAAAATAACTCATGTTTACTGAGGGTCTGTTTGGTTGATTTCCTAAAATCAGAATAAAGAAAATATGATAAGGAAACCATTAAAAGTTGATTTTCACTCATTTCCTCAAATAAAGTCATGAAATGAGTTTTTTTAAAAACGAGTCACACCATCCAATAATATCATAACAACTCATCTCATATTTTTTCTTAGTTTTAAGAAGTGAACAAAACACAAAAAAAAGGCTATTACAGAAAATATGTTTCTTATAATTAATTTTTTTTTTAACCAACCAAACAACACATGAGCATAAATAAGAAGTGGCAATGGACCCACCTATTCTGGAGGGGTTTTACCCTAGCTATACACAAAAACGCCCTCTGAAATCAGAAAGCGCGATAAATTCACCAGTGAGCAAAAAAGAGGGAAGAAGAGAATGAAACCTCGGCGACTTAAAGGGCACAACGCGGCGGCCACCTGCTGCATCGCCGCCGCTCTCGCCCCCGGGCGTTCGTGGCTCCGCCCCGCAGGACGCCTGCATGTGCTGGTTGCGATCTCCGATGCAAAGATGTCATCTTTTACCATCGGACGCGCCAAAGAACAGTCTCCTCTCTCTGTTCAAAGCAGGTTACCTTCTTTTTTTTTTTTTTTTTTTGGGTGGGTTTGAGTATGATGAAATTGTTTGTTGGGTTTGCTCTTTTTGTGGTGCTAGGGAATGAAGATGTTGTGTATGCATCGTCAGGGACGCAAATTTCTTGTATTGATGTTCATATGGTACGAAAATCTAGGGAAAATTTTTATGAGATATGCCCTTTACTAAGTGATATTTTTGTAGGCATCATCTACCTGGAAACCATTGGAAACCTACAGTTATAACAAAGAGGAGATTAACCAGGTAAGCATATTCTTTTCTTTCATTGTGAATGAAAATTTTCTCTCGTCTTTCTTTTTTACGCTAGAAAATGATTTTATGTGCAAGAATCTCATCGCTTGCATTTTACACAAATTTTATTTTCCTTGCTAGATACTTGGGTGCATAGCGTCAAGTAGTAATTTTTACGATAACAGTTTGAGGGAGTTGGATCCTTAGTTGTGAATGAATTTTACTAGGCATATATTGTATTGGACCTTAATGTAGTTATACTGTGTTTTTTTAATTCTATTTTGTTGACAAGAATAGAGAATTAATAGTTTCCAAATTAGAAGTATGGAGAGAAGCTAATGAAATTACAGCTGAGAAATAACAGGGTATAACTTAACACTTATGTTTAAGGTGAAACCTAGAAGATGTCAATGATGAGGGGTAGCGCACAGAAAGAGTGGATGAGAAATGAATTTAATGCCTAAAAGAGACAATGCATGGTCACGATTATTTAACTTGATGATTCAAGATGGTGTCATGGATTTTTCCAGTTAATGTTGAAGTCCATATAACTTTTCTGTTATTGCAGATTGCTTTCAGTCCAAACTCATACTTTCTTGCAGCTGCTGACGATAGTGGTGATGTTAAGGTATGTGCTTATGATTTATGCAGTTTTAAAGTGATATTGTTTCTGTAAAGCTCCGAGAAAAGTTCTTACATTGTGATGGGATTTAGCCCTTCATCGGTGGGTTCTTTTCATCCCCGCTGAACTTCTGAGCTGGTGTTGATCTTTGCATTAGCATAAGTGTTGTATGATAAAATAAGGTGTTCTTCACCTTTTCTCGTTTGGAACAACAGGATCTCTGTATACTGCTTAAATATGTAAGTGAAGCTGTACATCTAGGAAAGAGTATAAGTTTTGATGCTCATATAAGTGGATATCCATGTGCGTCGCCAATCCATCTAACTACAAATATTGGACCGACACAACTGTTTAATTTGTTGTCATTGGCAACTGTGTCATTTGCAAATCATTCATTTGTACTGGAAATTTTGTGATTGTCAATCACAAAATATTTTATGAAGGTCATAGATTGTAAAACAGATCAGGTTTTGGTTCCATCCAGTCAAACAAGATCAACTGTAGTTCATTGATTTTAGCATCTCTTGTACCAATAATTAAACCAGTGTTACCTACTTCACCACATGCCCCTCGATTTGTGGTCTAATTGTATGATGTCTGCTCTCTATGGCAGATTATTGATACACGCCAGCAATGTTTGTACAAAACATTAAGAGGAGTCCATTCAAGTGTATCCTTATTTGGTGGTGGACATGGATCTGTTGGATGTCCAACATATTCTATCAAGGCAATAATTTTAATATGTGTTTGTCTTTAAGCTTGCTGACTAGAACGTCTTTTCTATATGCTAATTTGTTCCTACTACATTTAAATAACACACTTTTTCAATTTATATAAAAAAAACTATATTCAAATAACACAGCTTCATTTATTTTGTCTTTATTTTTAAGTGGATATGAATAAAAGTATACCAAATTCTATTATTTAATCTATGTACTGTCCACAATCTTCATATTTGTTGATGGTTAGCTTGTTCTTCTAATAACTTATTTCATGTGTTCTTTCATCTCCTATCATATTCTTGTGCCAATTAATTCAGTATAACCCTTAATCACAAGACCCCAGATTTGCAGCAGTGTGCAGTTTCTTTCTTGGAAATCATGGTCAGGTAACTTTCCTTAATTGCAAACCTCATGTCACTTATTTCTGCATGCACACACTTGTGTTTTGGATAGAAATATCAGATGTTAATTCTACTGAATCTCGCATAATTAGTTTTGTGTCCTCTTAAGTTGATTCTGATAAAGGCTGAATTACACGAGACAAGTAACCAGGTAAAAGCCATAGCCAAAAGCAATTTGTACCACTAGGCTTATAAACTAACCTTAAGGATTGTTCTCATGCAGGTTTAGTCGTTTAGATGAATCTGACGGCGGCGCTTTCTGTACTTTGCTTTCATCTGTTTCATATGAATCTATTAATGAGGATGTCCTCCTTACTCTTTATTGCTAAAAATATCCTCCGTTGTCAGTTTGATATATCTATTAGCAGAAAAGCCATCTTCTGTGTTACTCAGTGCCAAAAATATTTTTGAGCGCCTTTCTACATAAATATGTGCTGGATTTTCTGTAGTTTTTCTTATTTTAAATTTCAGATAAAATTCAGATAGAGAAAAGTATTAGTGATCAGTGTTTATTGAAAATGTATTTGTATGTGGGATTTTCCATTTCCATTTAAATTATCTTTGCGGTGTGATTTTCAGCTATTACTGGCGGTCTTGACTCCAAGCTTGCCATGTGGGACTTCTCGAGAGGGAGGGCATACAAGGTTAAGGATTATGGTAATATATGCTATATATTTAAGTATTTGTATGATTACATGTTAATTCACAATACTGGTCTTATTTCGCTATTTCTAATTTGGCTATGCCCTCAGAAGGATCATATAAACTATTATATCTAAGTTCATGTCATATTTACTCAGTATGCTATTTAATATCGTCTAGACTTTATCGTAGTCTTTTTAATAAGTTCGGACCATTTTCCCTAGGTTGCAGAAGTTTAAACTGCATGACCAACAGTGTATTGTACCTTCCAAATTGTCTTGTAGGATTTTACTACAAGCCCCTTTCCTTCATACATCTGTTGTCCAGTCATTTGACACCAAGTTAGAGAGTGAAATCCAATTTTTCCCCCTCAAACGTTTCATAGCTCCTTACGCTCCATGGCTAAGACTTAAATATGATGTTGATCGTGATAAATATTTACTGTTTTTTCTTAAGTATTTTTTGCTGTTAAAATTGTAATTCTCGACAACAAGGTAACAACTGGTTTTATTGTTCATAAAAAAGAGCATAGTATCTCTTTGTTTGATTCATAATTATATAATAATTAGTGAATAAGCATGTATATCTGCTGAGAACTTCTTAGAGGTCTTACTTTGTTTAGAAAAAGTAGTATCTTTCTGTTGATCTCATTTTTGTTCTTCCAGTAACGTTGGACAATGTTTCAACCCTGCTTTTGTTCACTCAATAGCAGTTCCCGAAATTGATGTACAGGCTGCATTGAGCAAGGTGTGCGCAGTTGCAAGGGGTGATGGTGTTGTTGATGTGATTCAACTAGAATCTGAGCCTGTCTCTTCATCAAAAACTTCTGTTCATCATAATAATAAGTCTCAGTTGCGTTCTAAAGATGGTAAGAAAAAGATTAAAGATGATAATGAGATGGATCAAAGTCTAGGGCAAAGAGTACAACTTGATTATGCTCTTGGAGGACACACGGCTGCTGTATCCTGTGTGTAAGTAATTAGAGTCATGATTGCCAAGAAGTTAGCTAGTTTTTGCCTGATAGTTCTTTTATTTGAACAGCTCCTTTTCGCTGTTTGGTGAGAAAGGGAGGTTTCTCATTTCAGGTGGAAATGACGCCTCAGTGAAGCTATGGGACTGGTCGAAACATTTCAAAAGTGGAGAAGCCAATTCCAATGATGAAACAGTTTTGAGTATGAACGTGAACAAAAAGGTCAGTTTATTGTTTATGGTGGATTTTCATTGTTTTAGCAAAACTTGTAAGGTCATTTAAACCATTAATGCTTGATGTAAATTGTGATCAAACACTAAATTGATGGTTTGACTAAATCCCATAAAATTCTAGATCAATAATGGCCGTCAAAATTGATGCGATATGTACACGTACAAAGTATAAAACTTAAGAAAAATAAGACTTAACTATAAAATTTTAAAAGCTAGACAAATTAATAAACTTCTAGACAACCACATTATGAGGTATAAATTTAGACCAAAGAATGATACAATGACATGAAAAATGGACAAACCACTCTAAAGTCATAGATAATTTGAACATATGGCGAATCTTTGTTGTTAATAATTTCACCAATGTCTGTTTCCTTTCTTTAGTTATTTTTTAGTGCCCCTTTGTGGAATCTTGATTTCTGCTGCTAATGGCTGCACATGGGACTTCAAATAATTGGAGATTAGACCTCGGGTTGCATTTTTTCCTTTTAGAACATATTGCTGTGTCTTTTATATGTGACCTTTGTCAATAAACTATATAGATTGAGGCACGACTTTGATTCTATCTTTTATTTATTCTGTGATTAAATGATAAAATATTGATTAAATATTTGATTCTGAAAGAAAGATTTTACATGATGAAAAGTATTCCTTTCTATCCCATTTTCTGATCTATAATCCGAATATGAAGGATTATCCTATGTTCTTCTGATTGCTGAGAAATATTTTTCTTTCTAAATCGCTTCTACTTGGTTTTCCTAGGTCAATTGGCTGTGCACCACTCCATCTGATTCTGAAAATCTTATTTTATGTGACACCTCAAAAGTATTGAAAGTTTATACGGTGCCATAGAATGATAGATGGGCCAACTGAATGAATGTCTATAATGAAGAGGGAAAACGATATAAGCTTCAAGGGTCCAAACAAAGCTACTGATAGTAGGAAAGATCTGCATATTATTTCACAAAGGCAAAATGGATCAACATGTTTATTCAGCCTCAATGCAGATAACTTCTCGTCAGGAACTTCTACTCTCAAAAGTGACATTTACTGGTTTTGCTTCAGAGGGTCATCGTTTGTCTTTAATCTCATGTAAAATGGAATAGTTGTATTCTGCTTATATGACGATTCAAGATGTTAAATTATTCACAGTTACATGAAAATTTCCAAGTAAAGAAATAGCACCATGAATATTTGTAAGTCATCATCTAAACGTTAACTTCGAGTCTATAGATATGTTCCTGAATGCATGAGCTCAGTAAATATTATTATCAGGCTGTGTACTTATGGAACAATTTCTTGCTGGTTGCATGGTTTGCAAATGAGAAGTTTTAATTGAGAAGATGCAGTATACTCTTATCTCAAGTCTTGTCTCTCGACTCCAAATTGCTTCTGGCTTCTGTTGATTTTTAACAGCTAGAGCTTTTTGTGATGAAGTACTCGAGGTAATTCTTTGAGGTAGTTGACTACTCCAAATAGGAAACCTTTGTAAACAGGACACATGTTTTAACTAATGTTAATGCTATGGATAATTCGACAATTGACTACTCTTGCCTCAGTGTGCGCTCATCGGGTCCACGCTTAGCCTTTGTCCTAGTCGGGGGCAATAGGCCAACTTCGTTTCAAAATTCAAAAGCTCAGCTATATTCTTCAAGAGTATGTATTTGTATCTCTGTCCTAGTTACATTTGAAGTGTGTTGGCTCCAACAGTGGATTTATGCTTATAAATTAATCACAAGTATTGGAATACATAAGAAAACAATAGAGATGACTAACAAAAAGTATCAGTAAGTTTTCTCCCAAACTTGGTAAATTACACCAATAGAGTAAAGACAAGCATGTAGGTTACAATTGGTTTCACTTTCACAGAATTTATAAACAAAACATGTTAGTATTCTTTCCATTTTCTTCCATTTTCTGTCTATATTATGACCCTTTTTTTATGAACAAGGTCAGTTTGACATAAGGAAGTAAGTTAGTAGATACTTACTTGTGAATTGTGATGAGGTTGAGATACATAAAATGGAGGAAAGGAATGTCATCTCTTTTGTATTCCCTCTTCAACTTCACTTTCTCCTTGCCATGTTTCCCTGTGTGCCTCTGCATTATGTTGGACGGTGGTGAGGATTGTTGCCGAGATTAATAAGACTTGACATTGAAAAATCTTTAACATGCACAAATTAACTGCATGATAGCATTACACCCTACAGTGAAATCCCGAAAGAGTCTGCATCTTGATAGAGTCCCTGATTCTTCTTTAGTTCAGCTCCCCAAGAGCCTCTACAGGAACACCTCCCCTCCCTAAACTGGTGAAAACGTTCAGAGTCCCTCAATGTAATCTCTCTACTAACCATCTTCGACATGAATTTTATAACCTCATGACAATCACCACACACTGTCAAATTCTTAGTTACTCGAACAGGCTTCCCCTTAGATGAGTTCAATATCCCAAAAGCAATTGCTTGCATCTCACTATGTCCACAGAGAACATCCTCCTTCAAATAATCATTCCTGTCCTTCAAAATAAATTTATTTTGCCCAAAATAACCCTCCTCTTTCATTCTTTTTCTTACATCTTCAAGAAATGATCCTATCTTTTCTGATCGAGGATGTAATTTGCTGCCAGAAGCAAAAACATGAACTTTGTTCCTGAGTTCTATCCAACTGCAACCTCGGTGTTTTTGTTTCCCATGCCTACTGATCTTCTCCCTGATTTTTTTGAGAGCCTCCCATTTTTCCACTTCTGCATATAAATTAGCAAGAAGAACATAGTAGCTGGTATTCTCAGGTTCTAGTTCAAAAACATGCTCAGCAACTCTCTCAGCAAGCTTTACATCCCTGTGGATTCTACAAGCACGGAGCAATGATTCCCAAATAGCTGAATCTGGCTTTATCGGCATCGATGTAATGAAGTTATATGCTTTGGTTAATCTCCCAGCTCGACTAAGTAAATCAACCATACAAGCATAGTGTTGTACTGTAGGTTCTATTTTGTATTCATGCTTCATGATATTGAAAAATCTCCATCCTTCATCAATTAACCCTGAATGGCTACATGAATACAGTATAGAGATGAAACAAGCACCATCGGGTTCTATTCCTTGACATCTCATTTCCTTGAAAGCATTAATTGCCTCTCTTCCATGCCCGTGCATTCCGTATCCAGCAATCATAACAGTCCATGAGATTAGATCCTTATCAATGATTCGATCAAATATTTTACGCGCAAACGATAAAGCACCACATTTTGCATACATGTCAACAAGAGCATTAGACACATGAAGATCTGATAAATCCTCGGCTCTTAAAATTTGTGCATGCATCTCTCGCCCTTTATCTAGAGATGAAAGACTAGCGACAGCAGGAAGGACACAAGCCATTGTAACGCGATTAGGTCTCGAATGGCATTGCATCTTGATGAAGAGTTCAAGTGCCTCATTTGGAAGGCAATTCTTTGAAAACCCTCCTATCATTGTATTCCATGATATTATATCCTTCTTATTTGCACAGTCAAATACCATTCTAGCAGCTTCCATATCCCCACATTTTGCATACACATGCATCAGTGAATTCACAACAGAGATATTGGATTCTAACCCATTTCTCGCAACAAAATCATGCATGCGCTTACCTTGGTCAAAGGATCCGTTACATGCACAAGCATGAAGAACACTAGTAATAGCATATAAATCCGGACTAATGCCTTCTAACTCCATCATCTCAAATAATCCCATAGCTTCTTCGAACCATCCATTTCGTGTATAACCCGAAATCATCGAAGTCCAAGACACAATACTTCTATCTTCCATCCTCTCAAAAAGTATCTTTGCGCTACCCAAATTTCCACATTTTGAATACATGTCGATCAAAGCGTTTACTAGAGTTATCTCCTTGTTACCATAAACTTTCACTGAATACCCATGAATTGTTTGACCCATTTTGATAAAACTCATTTCTGAACACGCCGGTAGAACACTAACTAGTGTTGCCAAATCCAAATTCACTCCTGAAGAACACATCTCTGCAAACAACTCTACCCCGTTTAACGGGAGTCCATTTGATACACAGCCGCTTATAATTGAATTCCATGATACAAGATCCTTGTCAAGCATTCCATCAAACATCTGAACTGCACAATCAACACGATTGCATTTGGAGTAAAACGCAATGAGAGCATTGCTAACAACAGTGCAAGCATCAAAACCCAATTTCGTCACATACCCGTGAACCACTTCTCCTTCCTTAACTCTCCCCAGTGCCCAAAAACACTTCAAAATGCAAGAGAAAGTTCGTGAATCCGGCCTAATCCCCGATTGCCACATCCTTTTAAACAAACAAAGGCTTTCTTTGAAGTCTCCAGCTTTCGCATACTCACCCATTAACAGATTCCAGGTGTAAGTATGATCCTTGCACGCCAATTCATCGAAAATCCTTCTCCCTTCTCTCAATTCCCCGCATTTTACGTACATAAAGACCAGTTTTGAACCCAATGACGTATCGATGTCAACTCTGCTAGAAGACATCGTAGAATGCACTTTCTTGCCGTCGGCTAAGGATTTGAGATCAGCACAGAGCTGGAGAACCGAGAGGTAAGATTCTGGGCCGACGGGATCGAGATGGGTGATGGATTCTATAGCTTCTTTAAGGTTACCCATTTGGCAAAGCTCCCTGATTTGATTGTTTGGGTCGAGTTTTGGCTCCGCGGGGACCGAGGTAATTGCGCGGTTTTGAATGGTTTTTTGAAAATTTGAGCTCCATTGAGAAGGTGGTCGAGTTTTGAAAGAGAATGGGAAGTTTATGGGGATTGGAGAGAGGGTGTGCAGCGTCGCCATTGCTGGGGAGAACTGAAGAGGATGGGAGCGGGCCTTCGAAGGGCAACAAAAAACCGCCAGGAGCGTGCCGATGTCACGTGAGAGGCGCGTGCCGTCGACGGGTTTGATAAATGGGGTAAGGACAAATTTTCAAAATCAACCTTTTTGCCATTTTATATAGCAAAACCGACCCCATTTGAAATTATTCGGCAAAACCGATCATTTTCTTCTGAAAATGGTCGATTTTGCTGCAAGAGGATTTTTACGAAATACACAGGACTGCTAGTCCCATGTATTTCGACCCAGCTTTGAATTGCACGGGACTAGCAGTCCCGTGCAATGCATTTCTTTACGCGTGGCCCCCTCCTTTCCTCATTTGCTTCACCCGTGACTCCCTCAACCCATACCCTCTCTCTTGACCCCTCTTGACCCCTCCGCTCCCTCTCTCGTCCCTGTCTCGACACCGCCGACCCCCGCCGCCGACCAAGCAAGCTCCGACCAAGGTAATGTTGTTTTTTTTTTTGTTAATTTTGTTTAGCCATGAAATTTGGGATTATGGTTGAACCATGAGTATTGTGGCTTGGGATTTGAGATTATGGTTGAACCATGAGTATTGTGATTAGGGTTTTAGTTGGGATTTGAGATTATGGTTGAACCATGAGTATTGTGATTAGGGTTTTAGTTGAGATTTGTGATTAGGGTTTTTTGCTTCTCAGTTGAGATTTTGGATTAGGGTTTAGTTGAGATTTGGGATTAGTGTTTTTAGCCATTATTTGCTTTGCAGTTGAGATTAGGGTTTTAAATTTGACTTTAAATTAAGATTAATATTTCCATTTATAATAGATTATATACATATGATGGACTGTTGATTTTCAGTTTTGATGGCAAACTCTATACTATACCCATTATTTGCTTCTTCAATGGGAGCCTTGGCGTCGGATTGAATAGTATGCTGATGTATGAGGGAGGTTCTAGGAAAATGTTCATGCTATCTAAGTTATTCAATTTTGATGGAATGATGAATGAAATACACAGAGTTATGAAAATTAGTAAAGCAGAGTATGCAATTAAAGTGTTCTTCAATTGTCCGATAAATGAGAGTAGAACTATTGTTGTGGTGATTACCGACGATGAGGAATTGAATGACATGAAACAATTAGTGGAGAAGCAAGTGTCAATTGAGTTGTTCATTGAGAAGTATTCGATTCAAGAAATTTCCCAAGTTTCACGACCTCAAGGAGAGTTTTCTCGGATGCTTGACTTAGACAATGAGTCGAGTGGTTTTATGACATCTCCAAGTCAAGAGCTATGGTTTCAACTACAACATTTAAGTGGACATTCTCTTGGTGGGACGTCAAGTACTATATTTAACGACGCTTCGGGCTATGTTACGAGTGATCTACCGGCCGGATCAATTGTAGAAGAAGAAGCAAATGATGACTCAGAAGATATTAAAGAAGAAGGCGTGCAAATTGATAGCATGCATGTGGCAGTTGGAATCGATGATGATTCTCGTTGGATGGAACAATTTAATGTTAACAATGATTATGTGGAAGCTGAAGATCCGTTGCCCGACGAGTTTCATAATGAAGATGTTAACAATGATTATGTGGAAGCTGAAGATCCGTTGCCCGACGAGTTTCATAATGAAGATTGGATAAATATGTCGCAAGCTGAATTTGTTGATGTTGGTCCAAATTTTCAACGGCCTGAGGACTTCACTTTTAAAAAAAGGGACATATTCGAGAGCAAGGAAGCATTGATCTTTGTGGTCCGAGAATGGTCTATCAAAAATCGGGTTAAATTCAAGCCTGTAAAAACTAATGCAACCCACTACTATGTAAAATATTATTTTAACGAGAAGAATGAAGTAGAGAATGCAAATGAGCAAGATGAGAGAAACAGGAAATGTCCTTGGTTACTAATTGCAGTTGTGAGGAAATCATCAAATGGGCAATTTGTAATATCTAGATATTGCGGGCTTCATACATGTTGCAATCCGTCGGTGTATGTCGATCATTATTCTGCATCTTCCTCTTATATATGTAAGCTAATTATGCCTGGAGTTAGAGCTGAACTTGGTCTAAATACAAATCAGATATTTCAAAGGGTGTATGATATGCGGGGAAATTAAGATATCTAAATATAAGACATATGATGCAAGAAGAAAAACGTTGTCTAAAATATTTGGAGATTGGGAAAAATCTTATGAATTACTTCCACAGTATCTTGAAGCTATCAAGCGAAATAATCCGGGTACTGAATATGAAATATTGTCTGAAGAGATTGCATCGGGGATGGAGAGGTTCACTCGAGTATTTTGGGCATTTGGTCCTGCTATTAAGGGTTTCACTTTTTGTCGTCCGTTATTGAGCATTGACGGTACACATCTATATGGCAAGTACAAAGGCATGCTTCTTGTAGCAACCGGTGTAGATGCAAATGGCGGTTTATTTCCTCTAGAATTTGCAGTTGTGGAGGTAGAGGATACTTCTAGTCGGAAGTGGTTCTTTGAACTTATATACAAGTGGACTCCTAGTGTCCGTGCGCCCAGATTAATTACTTTCATCTCGGATAGGATGAAAGGAATTATAAGAGCATTACATGAGGGTTTTGGTGTACCACATCACCATCGATATCGTTTAAGGCATATAAGAGATAATTTCAAGAAAAAACACAGTGAGATTAATTTGCAAATCTTTTGTGGCAAGCTGGTTGTGCAACCGATACATTAGTGTATGAACATTGTAGAGAGAAAATCAAGTCTTTGTCATTAGATGCACATAATTGGATTGAACGAACATTGTAGAGAGAAAATCAAGTCTTTGTCATTAGATGCACATAATTGGATTGAACATAACTTGAAGCTTCAATTCGAGCATCGATGGGCATTATGTAAGGATGAGGGTGTACGGTTTTGCATGATGACAACTAATTGCTCCGAGAGCTTTAACGGCGTTCTTAAAGGAGCACGAGCTATGCCAATACAATCATTGGTTGCAAGAACATTCTATAGGCTAAACTCATACTTCAACAAAAAGGCGTGAGGACGGCGTAGACTGGACAATGCATTACACACCAAAAAATGAGTCTATTTTGCATAGAAGAGTTGAGACGGCAAGATTATGTCAAATTACTGTATTCAATGATAATGAATGGCAGGTACAGGATTATGACGGTATCTACACCGTTAAATTGTTTGATGTTGATTGAACTTGCACATGTAACATACCACAACTCCAAAAAATACCTTGTGCACATATTCTTGCTGCTTCTTCCAATCAGCCGGGTGGTGCGAGAATTCCATATAATCGGTATTGTTCACCATGGTATTCAACAATTCATTACCGAAAGACATACAGTGAGAGTTTTTATCCACCCGATGATAGTCGGTATTGGCCCGAATATACTGGACCACGACTAATTCCACCTCAATACAAGAGACAAGCATGTCAACCACGATCTGTGTGAATTAGGGGAACCATGATCAAGGATGAGAAGGAATTGTCAAGCATAAAAAAATGTAGTCTTTGCAAACAACCGGGACATACACGACCTCGTTGTCCAGCTAGACCCAACAGATAGCAATTAATTGGTAATAATTGACATATTCAAATTGTGATTTATTTTAATATAGAAACTGTAATTAGTCGTGGATCGGTTATTGATATGTTATAATTGTATGTGCATGTATATACACCATGCAGCCTGGACCGGTTAGTGATGAGGTCCTATATGACCAGCCTCGACACCGTTCACATGTTATATCCTTTACAGAGGTAACTAAGTTTCTTATAATTTCAATATTGCATTCTTATAATATTGCATTCTTATAATATTGCATTCTTATATATTCATTTGCTTTATAGAGAGGCCTGGATATTGTTATGGTTGATCACAGCCTTGGCCATAGCCATTGGCATCTAGAGGATGAGCGCATAATAGCAGATGTAGGATGGGCCGGCTTCTTGACATGTTCAAAGCTTCGTTGGATGAGGCTCGATTGGCCCCTACTCACCGCTTTGATAGATAGGTGGAGGCCGGAGACCAACACTTTCCACTTCCAAATGGGAGAGTCTACTATTACGCTACAGGATGTAGCTACGATACTTGGTCTCCGCATAGATGGTCATCGCGTTACAGGCAGTGATAGACATTTTTGGCCGGACAAGTGTGAGGAGTTGTTAGGTGTAGCTCCAGAGCCAATGCCTGGAGGAAATATTAAATTGAAGTGGCTAAAAGAGACCTTCTCGGTGTCGTTGCCTTTTAATGCGCCACCAATATTGATTGAGCAACATGCACATGCATACATTATGCACATGATCGGTTCAATATTATTTCCAAATTCGAGTAAAGATAAAGTGCATGTCAGGTATCATTTTTATCAGTATTTACAATTATGACTATTGAATTAGCTTATTTTGATAACTTGAAATATTGTGAAAATGCTAGGTGGTTACCACTTATCGGGGACTTGGACACGTGTGGTGCGTTATCGTGGGGTAGTGTGGTTTTGGCGTATCTATATAGAGAGATGTCCAAAGTTGCATTCATGAAAAATAGTGACTTTAAAGGGTGTCTCAGCTTACTGCAAGTATGGGAATGAGAGAGGCTGCATTTAAAGCCGAGACTATGCGTGAATTTACAATTAGACGGACAAATTCCACTAGGATGTAGGTATTATATTTTTTAACGTAGTAAATATAATTGTAGTTATTTTTGTGGTACTGAATTTTGAAAATAACACAGATGGAATGTCCAAAAATGTTATGACGAGACCCCGGCTAGACAATTAGATTTCTACCGAAATGAGCTTGACCGCATGAAGATTTTTCAGGTATCATTTCTATAAAAATAAGTTTTTTCTTCTATATATCAACTTTCGTTTTAATGATATGCAACAATTATATGTAATACTCTGTAGATGGAATGGGAGCCCTACACCCAATTTCTCAATCATCTACCCCCGATATGCACAGAATACCTAGTTATATGGAGAGCCAGAGTTCCTCTAATATGTTTCGAGATAGTAGAAATGCATGTACCGGACCGCGTGCTCCGA